TCGGTTTCGCTTGCTACCCGATGAAAATGTTCGATTTTGGGCCGCCCTGTGCCGCCCTGACACTAAAACCAGCCCCAGTTGGGTTGGTATTTGTGAGGAAGGGAACATGTTTGATCCCCATGTTGCAGGCAGTTGGATTTTCAGCAGGTGCCTTGGCCCGCTCCAAACCTCAGACCAAAGAAGCTTCACACAGCAGCTCATTGCTTGCGACATGGCAACTCGGGTGGAAAAACTATTTTCCTTGGTTCCAGCGGTTAAGGGTTGATTGGCTTGACTGGCCTAACATGGAAAGCCCCTCCAAGGAACAATCAATCCTCGCTCCATTTGATTGGCCCATGGACTGAGCGTGGGGGTTGGGTCCATAGGCAAGTCCCCATGACTTGGTGGCTCCCAGCCATCCCCTTAGCCTTTTAGCCTTTTAGCGTTTAGTGGGGATTTCTATTTAACCCACTAAAAGCTAAACTTTTAGCGGGGGATCTGAGGACAGTTGACACTTCCTCACTTCCTGAGTTCCGTTTCGGACCTTCGTCACTTTCTCGGGTTTGGACCGCTTTAGTGTGTGGCTGCAGGTGAGCGGCGGCCGGCGATGCTGCAGGCGAAGCGAGAGGGAGGAAGCCAACGTAGTCATGCCTTACCCAGACCTTTCCGTGGCCATGGGAAAAGTGGCGCACACTGGCTGCCAGTTCATGTTGAACGAAAGTCGGAAGCTCCTGAAAACAAAAGGAAATAGGGGCAGAACTTGTGGTTTGAGCTTTACTTATCTGCGTAAAGGAAGTCGTGCCACTTGCTTTCATTTCAGTGTAGGTGAAAGTCTTTGACAAATTCTGCGCAGAGATTGTGCTTTTTTCGATTTGCATCTCGAGCGTGGCCGTGGCTTGTCAGACATGCCAGGGACGGATGCGAAGTTTGGAGGAGGACATCAGGAGGCGCAAATTGGATCTGGGGCGATCATGGCCCTCCAACCAGCCCTGCACCCAGCAGTGTGGTTGATGGCCACCCCACTTGCACGGTCCCATGTTTTTTCATTCGAAGGCGAAATGTCAGGTGCTCAAAGAGTTTCAACAGAATCTCGTTTGAATGAATCATTTGGGGAATGAGTTGAAAAGCAACGCATGCTTCAGCTCAGCGTCATTCAACCGAGAATCAAAGATGTTCAAGGGAATCTTGTTTTGTTGGAAGGAATCATTTCAGGATTGAAGTGCACTACAAGGAATGCTTCAGCTCGGTGTCATTGTTTTCCCTTCCTACCAATGGTTTGGAGCGCGCCCATTCGGCAGGGCCCAAGACCTCTCTTTGCGGCGCTCGCAAAGCGAGAGCCGCTTAGGTGCGGCCCTCAGCCGAGGCCGAGGCTCAAAGTAATCGGATGCCTTGTTTGGGACCCGCTGTTGGGCAACGGATCTTTAGACTTTAACTTTTTGGGGGTTTAACCAACCAAACCCCCGAAGAAGTTGAACTTTTTGCAGGGGGGTCAACAGCAACCAAGTTGTTTGGGACCTGCTGAAGAGGGAAGAATAAAGGACCTCCCCTGAACCCACTCGTTCTTTTGTATGCATCAAGCGTGGTTCCTGCTTGCAGCATTGGAGAAGTTTTAGGCGGTCGCTGATTCCCATCCACATGACTCTCTTGCTGAGCATGGAGCCCCAAAATGGTTGAAACCCCTTTTTGGGGCGAGGGTGTTTTAAACCTGGGGCGTTCGAATTTGAGGTGATGTGCACCAAAGCTTCAGCAAGGCCGTCCTGGGAACGACAAGAGAACTCAAGGATGCACCATGCAAGATGAGGTAGTTGCAGCCTTTGCACGTTTCCTGTCAGCTGGAGGGCAGGTTTGTTTAGAGGATTTTTCACGTTTGGGGGTGGGCGGGGTGGTTGAAAGGGATTCTAAAATGAATGCCGTCATTGCTGAGGGTGGCCCTGTTTTGACACATACCCAAATGAGAACCATGAGCCAAGTAATAAGCTAGTAACAAGGCAATGTTCGCGCTTCTGGTAAACGGCGCCAGCTTTCGGCCCGTCCTGTGACCAAAAGAAAGCAAAGACCACAACCGAGACTTACGGACAAGCAACTGACAAGCACTAAATATTCGAGGTGTTTCCTCCAGCAATCGCAAACCCACAGGAACCGGACAGAAAAAAAATCCAGACAGCCGGCCCTAACCAGAAATCAACATGCAGAGGATTCTATGATTTTGAGAATCACCGTTCCACTGCGGGGAACCATTGTCCATGGTTTGCACTGGATGGGTCAGAGTGATAGCGGCACCAACTGCAGCACGCCTTCAATGTCTCCTGAGCCTCTCTCAGCAACCATCGAAGGAGATAGCCTCCTAGCATGTTTTTTGCTTATTGCACATAGTCCTGACATGAACCTTGTTGCGAATCCATTCCAATGGTTAAAGGTAAATAGGAAACCCCAGAACAATGGATTACGGCACTCTTTATTGAACTACATCGTAAATCGGGTGTAATTCCCTCTCTCCCCCTGACATGGCACCTGGCAGGCGTACCCTCGCACAGGTGCCGTGTTAGTGGGAGGGCGGGTATCAACCAACCATAATCCTGGAAACGGCTCACTGGGGACCTCCCTCGGAATTGACGATGTCGCCTAGGCCCTGTGCCCACCCTCACAGCCCATCCTGTCCAGGACATGAAAAACACCCACCCGTTCAAAGCCTGTCCAGTGCGTTCCCAAATCGCAAACATTTGATCCGGCACGTCATTCAATGGCTGTGAATGACTGCATGACAACTAGTTCTTCCATATTCATGAATGGAAAAACCTTCCAACACTATCCTTTCAAGAGCAGTCTTTTCAAGCTGGTTGGAACAATCCAATCACAATGCAAAAAGATGTCACAATAGTTCCACTCAGAACTATCAAAACCACCCCAAGCAAAGTCCAAAGAGATTCCTCACTGTCCGTAGGAATGTACTCTGTGCGTCAGGCTCATGAACCTCGCCTACGCGAACCTTTGCCTGGAAAAAAGCAGTGTGCAAGAGATCTGGATTCTGAAGGCTTTTTGGGAGTTGATTCCTGTTTGTTCGACATCGTTCGGAATGCTAGGTGCCCCAGTAGTGCCCGTTTACCCCTTTTCTTGGGGAGGCTTCCCCTACTGAAATAGACTACAGAGAAAAGGGTACCCTTATTCTAACCTCTCTACTGGAGGACCTAGGATGTTTAATGACTCTCCAAGTGGATGTGTCATCGATGTTGCTCTCTTCTCATGGCGTTGACCCGGCTTGGCAGAGAACAGCGTTTTGCCAGCAGGGGAAAGGTGACTTGATATGTCTTCACGTTGTTTTTTGGTAGCTCCTGAGTCCCAAATGGATGTTCAATGACTTTCATGTACCCGAAAGTTAACCCCGGATTAATAAACCCCTGGTTGATTAATAGGGGGGTGTCCCCTTTTAGTGGGATTCATCACTTTTGGAGGGGACGGGTAAAAATGAATCCTGGGTCAACATCATTTGCCCCCCCAGCCGTTGGCCTTTCAGGCGGTTGAAACGCTTGGCTTTTCGCTGCGAAGGGTCAGCTGCACGCAGCCTGGGCCAAAGCCCAAGCTGTGAAGCGCGTGTTGGGGGCCGACAAGTTCAGAAGAAGCACTTCCATTTGGTTTAGAATACTTGTTTATGTTCCTGTGTTGGTTTTAAAGGGAATCGCTATAGCACTACTGGAAAATGTGTGTTTTTCCAGAACATCGTAAAGAACAAGCGACTGCTCAGATGTTTAGGGGGATAGGACCTCAGCCTTTGAGATTCCTTTTTTTCATCTTGATGCTTTCCGGATCTGAAGGTCAAAGTGCCTATAGTTTGATAAGTTCGGTATGAAACGTTAGGGCGTTAAGAGACAAGAAACACTTTTGTTTAATTAGTTCACTTTGGTCAGGTCTTGCTTTACGATCTCAGATGGCAGTGTGCCGCCCGCGGTGAACAGCTTTTGGCTACCTGACATCGGTACCACTGGCTTCAGCCTTTGCCTCGGTTGCTGCCCGTTTGGTCCTTTGTTCAGACAATTGTGTATCTCGTTCTGTTTCCGGCAACCGGCAATCTATCACTCACCTGCGCAATTGCACTACCCAACATTGCCTGACGCGGGGCCGTTCCGGGAAGACGTACCGCGTCTTAGATTCCTGGCGCGCCGCTTTTTGTCTTACAAAACGCCCCAGTTGCCCAGACGCAGTCGCAGTGCGGAGTGCTTCCAATTCCCAAGTACACCCCTCAATTCCCAATTCCTTTTCTTTTGGATGTGCTTCCTTTGCAGTCAACCAATCAAGTGTGTCACCCACGGCACGCATCCCAGTCCCGAGAGCCACGGGGGGAGGGGGGCTTTCTATTTTCTCTTTGGGGTTGTAATTCCGATGAGTGGTGACTGCTCAGATCAATGCCTGTGACACATGAGTAGCGCATCAAAAACCGTCACATGCAACACTGTCGGAACAACAACCGCGTTTCCACGATCCAGCATGTCAATCCCAGAATGGCAAAGCCCGACTCATTATGGCTCAAGACAGATTCACAGGGAGCGGTGGGAGCAAAAAGACGGAGTTTGTGCCATGAGTGAGGCCACAGGTCGACGTCTATCCTGTTTCGTCAGCCAGCCGGCCAACCTCGATGATCTGTGGAAGATCAGTGTAGAGTCCTTAGGCCCCAGAAGTGGAGGCCAAAGGATGGCCAGGCAGATGCTTTGCACTCAGAGAATGCGACCACCTGTTTCTACACCAACCTCAAAGATGCTGGGTTGCCGGATTTCCCCTTTCCTTGTCCCAAGCAGCAAAACGAGGAGAACCCGGGGTCAGAAGCATTCAGAAGCCAAACCCACTGCACCGAGGCTCCTTGCAGGCAGCTCGAGGACTGGGTCTGGCAGAGAGCCCTGGCCTCAATGGGGCGACACCTGCATTGATTGAAGCAAGTGCGCTTGATTTCTTCAAGCTCGAGAAGAGGGAGCAACTCAAAAAAGACAACCCCTTCACCGAAAGATTGCGTGGACCATTCGTATTTTTCCTCGAGGTCCTCAGCCGCCATTTCAGGCCTAGTGCGGCAGGTTTCACGCCCAATCTGGCTCAGCCATGGCCAGCGACTCCACACTGCTGAAAGAGGCCCGCAACCGCATGAACGAGATCTTGGACCTTCAGCAGCGCGGGCAAAACGCGTTGCAGCAGGAGCCGAGGCAGAAGATCAACAGTCTGTGGTTCGTGGCTGAGGGCATGCGCAGCGAGGCGAGGGAGCTCCTCCTCCAGCTGGGAGGAGCCACCAATCCGGGCCGTGGCTTTGGCTACTTAAAGTTGGTGCCCGAGGTGCTGCAGATCGCGCGGAAGCTTGCGCTCTGGGCCGCGCGTGATGATTTCCCGGCCTTCCAAAAAAAGGCGCACGACATCTTGGCCATTGCGCGGCGCCTGCAAGAGCTCCTCAAGCCACACGTGCGCACGGCCCCGATCTCCTGTGAGCCACCCCCCTCCGGATATGGCTTCATTGAACTTTTCCCTGCGGAGAACGCTGCAGATTCTGAGCCCAGCGAGTCCAACGGTTTTACGCTGCCTACTCAGGCTTCATCAGACCCCCGAGGCTCTCTGGTTTCGACTGACATTGCAGACACGCCTGAGCTGCCAGTGGTACGGAGGCAAGAGTTGGAGCGGCAACTCGAGGAGCTGGGGGTTCATTACCAGCACCAAGACCATGAAGCAATTGCCTCTACACTCTACCAGTTGGCGTGTGGTTGCAGCAAGGCGGGCGACCTGCTTAGCGCGGAAGAGCACCTCCAAAAGGCTTGGGAGATGTTCCGTCGCCTCGGCAACTCCAATCACCCATTAATCTTTGAAACGCGGCGTGAGATGGGAAGCCTGTGCAGGACCACAGGGGACCGACTCAAGGCTGAACAGCTCTTGAATGAGGCCTTGGAAGAGGAGCGCGCTTTCCGGGGACACTCCAACCACCCAAGCATCGCTGCAACGCTGCATGAGCTGGGAGATCTTCGCAGAGTCAAAGGGGACCTGTGCCAGGCTGAACAGCTCTTGTATGAGGCTTTGGAGATGAAGCGCTCTGTCTATGACAAAGACCACGCAAATACTGCCGTAACACTGCATGCTCTAGGCTGCTTGTTCAGGGAGCGCAAAAACCTACCCAAGGCTGAAGAGCTCTTGCAGGAGGCTTTGAAGATGAAGCGCGCTGTCTACGGCGACACCGCCCACACAAACATTGCCGCAACGCTTGTTGGGCTGGGAAAAGTGCGCAGATTGCTCGGTGACCTACCCAGGGCCAACGAATACTTAGAGGACGCCTTAACGATGTTACGCGAAGTCCACAGTGACTCCAACCACCCAAACATCGTTGCAACGCTGTATGAGTTCAGAGACATCTGCAGGGAGGCAGGGAACCATTCCAGGGCCGAGGAGCTGCATCAGGAGGCCTTGAGTCTGAGCTTTCAGCAGCGAGGCGGGGCACCTAAAACTTGAAAGCTCTTGCAGGAGCCCCGCACCCTTTGCAGTCACTTGCTCAGTATCGTTCTAAGCTCACCGCGAAGCAGTTTCTCGCACTGACTAAAAGTGTCGAGCCCAAACAGGGGAGATTGCATTAGGTGAAACCACCCGGGCCGGCTCCGCCCACCCCGCCCCCGCCATTTGTTTTTTGGCCCTCCGCCAGGGTGAATCCAGGCAACCTGGGTAGCTTGAAACTCAAGCTGGGAAACCAGCAAGTGGAATGCTGGGCACTTGCTTGTCGAGACCGGAAATTCCAAACGTCGGGCTGGCACTGCTTTTTGCAAGAAGCAAGGCTGAAGCTAGTGGCTCCAACGGTTGAGCGTGGGTCTTTGAAGACTACTGAAAATGGTACCCTGATTGTTCGCCTTACGCGCGCTGCGTTGCGTCCCCAGCCTTTCTTTTCCCGCGCCTGTGGGGTCAGTTGCTCGGTCGCTCGGTCGCTCGGTCGGTGGCTTCGTTGGTCCGCACGCCTTTGCGCATCAAGTTGGAGCGCCCGCACCTTTTTCTCGAGGCCATCCCGTAGGCGGCAGCGTTGTGTACCTTGAACGGAACATTTGACATTCTTTCTGCGCCGCAGCGCCGCATCGCCCACCTTGAAACCTTTCCCTTAGCGACAGTGGCGGGAACAGAGAAACATTTCCACGCCTCCTGGTCGATCGTTGGGTATGGAGGGCCAAGACTGCAAATGCCCAGTGCGTGTTTGCACATATACACACACATATTTGTAACCCCCCCCCAATGGATCTACCTTCCTTCAGAGTTCACTGGCATGTGCAGTGTTTTCTGCCTTTTGTTGGGCTTTGGGGAGAGCAGCAAAAAAACGCATGTCCAAAGACAATCTCAAATCTTTAGGCCAAAACTGTGCCAGGGAATCTTGAATCCAGTCGGTTTGGATCTACCTGTGCCCTATTTCTATATCAGCTGAGGTTTGGTCAGAAGATGCAAAGCAACAGCTATGTTGTCCAGTGAAAACAAAAAGAAGTAAAATTATGGAGCCAGGGATCAAAAAGTAAAAATGCAGAAAGGCACAATTCTGGAGCCACCAGCCCAAAAGTCGAAAAGTAAAAAAGTTAACAAATAAAGCAGTAAAAAAGTAACAATGGAAAAACAGTAAACCATTTCAGTCCATGGTGAAAGCATTTGACTTCAGGACCATGGGCTGGTTTGTTTTACATTTTTGCGTTTTTACTTTTTTTTTCTTAACTTTTTTTACCTTGTTCACTTTTGGGTCATTGGCTCCAGACATTTAACTCTTTTGCTTTTGGGCATTGGCTCCAGCTATGTTCTTGTTTGTTGCTTACTTTTGGGTCGTTGGCTCCAGATCTTTACACTTTCACTTTTGGGCTATTGGCTCTAGAATTTTACTTCTTTATGTGTTCACTTTTGGGTCATTGGCTCCAACATGGCTGCTGTTTTGTATTTTCTGACCAGAACTTAGCTTAGAATGGACAGGTTTAGGGTGTTGGGTTTGGGGGGGAAGGTTATTGACTCACGTTTATAGGAATCGGACGTATTTCTCGTAGATGTTTGCTCAATAAATTTTATTGGACACATGCTCGTGTGTTCAAATAAACTCACGTGTTTTGTTTTTGCGTTATGTTGCTTGGAATTCAAAGTATTTGACAAGGATTAAACATGAACACGTCAATTAAACTATTGTTTCAACATACATTTCAATCATGATGTTAAAGGATCTTTTTCTAGGATTGTGTTTGTTCAATTTCTCAATAGAATTGAAAGGCAGTTTGACAAGGAACAAACCCTAGTAGAACTTCTAGCTTAAAGAGTTAATTAATAGGATGTCCTTGTCGAACAAGATGTGCAATCAAAATTCTTAGTTGGGACTAGATGTTCAATCGCGTTACTTTGTTGTCATAGTTTCAATAGAATTGAATTAGGACATAATCCTAATAGAATGTCTAGTTTTCAAGAGAATTTAAATAGTTTGTTTTGTTTAGTCGGTTTTACTAATTTGAATTATCATTTCAAATTAGACGTTCAAAAGGATGTCTTTTCCATGATGCTTTTTTCAACTTTCGAGTTTGGACTTAAACGGGTTTTAAAAGTGAACAACGCCTAATATGTTTCCCAGACTCAAAGGTGATTTGAATAGGATTTCCGTTTTGGAGAACATTGTTAATTGGGATCCTTACATCAAAATATATTTTAAAGCGACCATGCTTTCCCAGGATATGGTTTCTCCACATTCTATTTAGAATTTGCTGGAATCTAGCAAGGACATAAGTCTAGTAGAATTTATAATTTTAAACAACATTTTGATAGGATGTGCTTTTCAAAGAAAAGCCACATAATTGGAATGGCTATTCCAAATTAGATTTTGAAGAGGACTTCCTTGCTTAGCGTGAGCTGATGCTGGTCACGTCGCATGGGGCATTCCAAATAAAACAACTGCATCCCATCTCCAAAATAGTCTTCAAACAGCAAAAAGATAGATCCATCGGGGGTGCGCATATATGCATATATGTATATATATATATATATGCATGTATGCGCGTGAGCATGAGCAGTTCCCGTGCAATTCTGCTGCTGTCAGAATCCTGGCAGGGCAATGAGAAGCCCCTCGAGCAGATCGTCTCAGAGGGCCGGTTGCTTGCCAGGCGTGCAGTCAGGGCCACCACACGGGAAATAGCAATGTGCCTTTTGCGGGCCTCGGCCGTGTTTTGCGGAAGGTAATTTCTCAGGTGACCACCCCATATGTTACATCATGTTGCGGGCGCTTTTGTGGCGTTGTTTCCCAAATTCGCCCAGCGGGTGCTTGGATTGCACCGACGTGTCAGACACCAGGGTTTTGTTTTACTACAAGATTCAGCCAGTGCAGGCTGCCAGCACGCCCTTTGATTTCTGTGTGTTCTGTGCCCTGTGCCCCTTCCGGCAGGGAGCTGAGCCGACTATGGAATGCGCGCACGCAGTTTCACCAGTTTTCCAGTTTTGGTCTACCTCCCGCCCTGGCCCTTAAAAGGCAGTGATCTTGTGCCCACTTGCTTTGGCAAGTCAACCCTTAGATTTCTCCCAGCTCGGCGATCGTATACTTCAAGGGTCCAAAAGATGGTCAGCTTTTATGGTCAGTCCCTTGGTCGCAGGTGATTTACTTCGGCCAAGAGGCGGTGAGGCCTGCAAGCTTTGAATCCCGCAATACCCTCGCGGCAGAGGCAATGCCTACTACACTTGAGAAGCGCAAGCAAACAAGCTGCACGGTTTGGTGAGGGTGAGAGTGCTGCTTGTTGGGGCTTGGTAAGGATCCAACTGCCTTACATCAGCCTATTGGAGTGATTTGACCAGGGGCTTGGGCGCTGCTCACGTCAGAATTGCGCAGCTGGAGATAGCATCTCCCACGCAGGCCGAGTTTCTATTGTCAAAAGAAAGGCGTGAGCCGGGTTGCGGCAAAATTGGCAAGGACCGCTGTAAAGCGGCGCGACAGTTGTACTTGGGGGGCAAAACACCTGCGGAGAGCCACGGAATTCCTACATGACAGCTCTCTGGTGGGGAGTGGTTTGGCTCCCCCACTTGGCAAGGATGTTTTCATTGATCAAGAAAGTTAGGGGATTGACGACGATCAGATACCGTCCTGGTCTTAAGCATAAACTATGCCAACTGGAGATTGGAGGTTGTTCGGGAGATTTTGGGCGCGCACCGAGGAAAGGCACGCGGAGCCAGCGGAAGCAATGAGGATCCCAGCCGGGATCCGTTTGGACCATGTCGTGTGGCTATCGCGGTGGAAAACTTGTCGTCAGGACCCTTCCAAAGTACACACAAAACATACACATGGCCCCCTGCGCTCCCAAAGGGAAGCTCAACCCCAAATGAGCTTGATTCATAGTTGTTTCCCTGATTTTCCCATGTGCCACCTGGACGACTTTGAGATCCATTTTGTTTGTAGGACCTACCAACAGTGTGACTCCCGTAAAAAGCGATTGGAATGAATTGTAGCCATGTTTGACCGGCGTGGGCGTTGTGCGCATCCCAAATTTAAACTGCCTAGATAGAAAGCAGGTTGGTTTCCTGGTGTTCTTATTTTTGTTGCAGCTCACCCTTTTGGGCTTCCAGGGCACATGCAATATCACTTGGAAACGGCTGCTCGAGGAGTACGAATCTTGAATTCGATGGAACCCCAAGTCATATCTCCCAAGAAGCTTTGGCAAGGGATCGGTAGCGGCCCCCGGAAAAAGAAGAAGATAAAGAGAAGAACGCCGTAGTTTGCACGAAAATTTTGTATATTGAAATATTATAATATGAAATATAGATTTTCTTATTTGATTAACATATTAAATATTATATAAATAGTTTAATTTGTTTTCTTTGGATTGTTCTTTAATAGCTGAAAAGTTTGGGGTCGATAGGCTCCGGGGTGATTCGGGGCAACTTGAGATAAGGTATTATAGGGGGAGTGTTATTAGAATTTTACTAGGGTTCGGGCTCGCGAGTATGGATTCGCGAACACGGGTTTACGAATACTAAAGAGAACAGAATGGGTTATTATTAATGTTAAGAAAGCAAATAATTGAAATAATATAATTAAGAATATATAATTTGGATATACATATATATATATTTGAATAAAGGAATTTTTTATATTAATTGATTGAAATTGAACAATGAATTAAATAGAATTGAATATTTTAAGTTGCATAGTGTTTATAACATATATATAAACCAATTTTTTCTCAAAATATATTCAAAATTTTATTATATATATATATTATTTAAATATATATATATCTATATTTAATTAAATATAGAGAACATATGTTAAATACATATTATATATATAATTGGTTTTGTAATTGTTATTTAATATGTTATCCTATAAATCGGTACGGCCTCGAGGTCGCATTTCCCGTGCACCGGCAAGCCGTTGCAGCGGTACTCCGGCCGAATCGTAGTGCTTGCGGCGAGCGGCTATGCTTGTCAATGTCTTTTCTCCGCGGCACAAGCTCCCGCCTCTTTGCGCGGCCCGGAAGGCCCCGAAATTTTGCCGAAATTTCGGGGGGTTCTTAATAACTTTGCTTAGAGTTCCGCGGCATAACCCGGCCAAATTTTCCTTAGGTTTCCGGACGTTACCCTCGCAAATTGATTCAGAATTTGGCGGCTTTCCGAAAAATCACCGAGCCAAATTTCGGGGAAATTTGGGGACCTGTTCGAGTCGAAATTTCTCGAAAATTGTGTACCGGGTGTCTCCGTATCCTTGCCTCTCTCTGTGTCTCCCAGTCTGTTTCCGTGTGTCCGTATCTATCTGTTTCGTAATCTCTGTCTTGCTCTGTCTATTTTTGTGCATCTCTGTGTATCCCAATCTGTTTCTTTTTAGTGTTTGCGCCTCTCTGTCTCTATCTGTCTGTCTGTGTCTCTCTGTCTCTCGGGTTGTCTCGGTTTGTCTCTGTTTGTCTCTATGTGTCCGTGTCTATCGTTCGTCTCTATTTCTTTGCGTCTTTTTGCGTCTCTCTGTCTATTTCCGCGTATCCGCATCTGTCTATTTGGCTATATTTGTCTCTGTCTTTGTCTTTCTGTCTGTCTGCGCTTATTTCTGCGGGTCGGTGCACAAAGATGGCACATTTCCGCGTTGCCATTCTTCCTTTCGTTCTGTCTTTCTTTTGGTTTCTGATTGTTGCTACCATTGTTCTTGCTTGCTTGCCTACCTCCCTCTCTCTCTCTCTCTCTTTCTCTCTCTCTCTCTTTCTCTCTCTCTCTCTCTCTCTCTCTCTCTTTCTCTCTTTCTTTCTCTCTCTCTCTCTCTTTCTTTCTGTTTTTCTCTCTTTCTATCTCTTTTTTTTTTTCTCTCTCTCTCTCTCTCTCTTTCTATCTCTTTCTTTCTCTCTCTCTCTCTCTCTCTCTTTCTCTCTCTTTCTCTTTCTCTTTTTGTCTCTCTTTCTCAGAGAGAGAGAGAGAGAGAGAGAGAGAGAGAGAGAGAGAGAGAGAGAGAGAGAGAGAGAAATCTCTCTCTCTTTCTCTCTTTTTTTCTCGTTTTCTCTCTCCTTGGTGCCGCTTTAACGCCCACAGGATGAGGGATAGCTTGCCTAGGTCCTGCTGGGGTATTGGCTGGTTTTTGCCGGGCCAAATCCACCCTTGGGGAGCCATTGCTTCCACCTTGGGCATTTCTGCCAGCAGCAACTCTTGTTGCCACGGGTCTCTCGTTCTCTTTCTTTCTCTTTGTTGTTCTCTTTTTTTCTTTCTTTTTTTTTCTCTCTCTCTCTCTTTCTTTTTTTTCTCTCTCTCTTTCTCTTTTTTCTCTCTCTCGGTTTTTTCTCTTTTTCTCTTTCTCTTTCTTTTTCTTGTTCTCTCTCTCTCTCTCTCTCTCTCTCTCTCTCTCTCTCTCTCTCTCTCTCTTTTCCATTTTTTATGTTCTCTTTTTTTCTTCTATGTTGGTTTTGGTTGGTTGGTTGGTTGGTGTGTGGCCAGCACATGTTAGTGAGGCCAGGCCCGCGCTTCCCCCCCGGCCGAAGCTTGGGGTTCAAGCCGGCCGGAAAAATAAACGCAGCCAAGGCACAAGCCGTACCATGGGGAACCCAAGGCCGGCGCAGCTAAGACAGGGGCAGAGGGTGGAAACAGTGGGGCCGGAAACTGGGGGGCCTGAGCATGAGTAACAAAGAAAACGCAGGAACAGAAGCATGCAAGGCACCCCAGAACAGGCCCGGTAGGATGTGAGACCTTCCCGAGCTCAGGCCAAGGCAATGGCAGGCTCGCCTGCGACGACGGTCAGGACCATCCCCCCTTCCCGACGCAGATTCTCGATACAGAGGCGAAAGCCAACTGAAAGGCCAGGCGGAGAGCCGAGAGCACCATCACAGGCGGCTAGGGCCGCGGAGACTGTGACAGGGTCGGATCTACGTTGCAGGAAGCGGTACAGCCATCGCTTGATGCGACGGTTGCTGAGCACAGGCGGCTGAGCCACGCCATGACCGGCTCCTGGATGGACCTGACTAACCACCGACTCTATGTGCGCACTCAGGGCTGCCTGCAAAGGAGGATGAACTGGACGGAGAGGTGAGGCAGCAACTGCAGACAACCAAGAGAACGCACAGTCAGGGCAGAGCTGAACAACGTGAGCCGCGGACGGCAGGTACGCTGCATGAGCACCACAGTTCCAACGACAGTGAGGCCGGAAGTGGATACAGTGGTTGCAGCCACGACACACAGCATCCCCAAGCCCGTGACACCATGAGCAAGGGAGAGGCTCGGGCGGGGCCGGAGCCAGCCGCGCCCGCCCGCACGTGGAACACAGATCAAGGGCAGGGAGAGGGCCAGGAAGCGCAGGACAGGCGCACTGCGTATGAAGGATCTCAAGAGCAAAAGGCCAGGTGACAGCGTATCCCCACTCAAGCGACATGCCGGTGCGGACCGGGACCCCGCTGGCTTGGGCCAACCGCACGATTTGCTGAAGGGTACGCTCCGAAAGGCGACATCCCAGCTCAGAGGACAGGCGTGAACACATAATTGCAGACGTTGGCGCGAGCCACCTCAAGGCACGAAGGGTGACAACCCCGCCAGGGGATGTGCTCCACGCCTGGTAGCGCGCCAGCGGAGAGGGGACACCTAGACGGATACCTGCCATTGCTGGCTCGGGCTGCGGCGCCGAGCACGCTTGCATGGAGCGCACGCAGGACGCCACGAGCCCAGTCCGAGCAGAGTATTGCCAGCGAGCGGCCCGAAGACCACACAGCAAGACAGCAGTGAAATCAATAGCCGGCCGGAGCCTGTCCGCAAGTGACCGGTGCCTGGCCTGCTCAGCGGCGAGCTGGGCAGAACTCAGAAGGTGCGCAAAGCCTTCAGCTGCGTCAGGCAAGGCATCATCCGGCACAGGCGTGCCCCGAGCTGCCTGGAGGATGGCACGACCAAGTGCAGCAGGTAAAAGACCGCGGTGGGCGAGGTCACATTCCCCCTCAGCACATACCGCTGCCGCACTATGGCCCCCAGTGTTGGCAGAAAGAATGACTTCCCGGTCCAGCGTGGGAACAAGCCAGCGCCAGGCTGAGAGCAAGGGCCAGCGGGCCTGCACCTCCGGGGCA